TAGCATCTCTTCTAACATTTCCATGCATCACAAATGTCAAAATAGATTAATCTATGATTTGGATGGGTATTTTTAAGCAACAGTCAAATTTTCACTCCTACCGGATTTTAGTGACCTTTTGACCTATATGACCTCATTAACATACTAATTTGCATAATGATTATTTGAATGAATAGAGTACTCAAATACAAACATTTTAAGGGGTATTTTATTTTTCTGTGGTTTATACTTTCAAAGATACAGTGATTTATGTTTCCCCTACCCCTAAATATCAGTTCCAAAAGAATGCCAATGGGCGTGGCTTATGACGTAGTTTTCTCGGTTATTGCCGGGTTACCCAAAGTCTACTCAAACATTTTTGATGTGCCACATGGTGTACTTCAAAAATATGAAGAGAAATTTAGGGGGCCTCTCATGCATACGGGAACCCCCTCAGCCTGTGGATTAGTTTTAAATTAACGCCAAATTTTGGTAGTCCATATTGATCTTAATGTAGCGGGAAGGGAAATTCTTTTTTTTTCTTGATTTTCCAATAATTGATAAAACGGTTACTTTGTACCTTAATTCATCATCCCAGCTTTTCGAAATTTCGGAAAGACCAGTGCTCAAATGGTAACACTACTACCGTTTTGTTAATATTTGCATAATGTTTATACCATGTATATGTATACTACCGGTAATACTCTGTTGTTGATGATTCTGAACGGGTGACAAGCTTCCTGTCGCAAACAATGCATATTTATCTAACGTCCATTGTCAACATTGTTATAGTCAAGACTTCGTCTGAGAAATCGTTTCATTTTCTATATTCTATTTTAATAACACCATCTTACTAACGTAATGGCGTTAAAAAAGAAAGAAAAGATGCCAGTGACAGACGAGGCAAAGACAAATCTGCAACTCAGGGTCATATTTACTAATTTAGACTTGCCTGCAGCCTGTTGTGATTACGATGCAAAATTACAGGACTTTCGCGCTCACCCTTCGTTTATGCAATTTATATTTATTTGTTAAGAATTTTTCATCGGAATCGCAACAGATAGCAAGCACGTCTTGGTCATATTATGACCAACCTCGCTAGTGGTTCGAAAGGGACGATTAGGCTGAAATATTTGCATCAACGTGAGAGTTTCAACTATTTAACCGATGACGACACCGATACGTGAGGCCGGTGATCAGACGAGAAAGTGAGTACAGGAAATCTGTTGCTCGTCGACATCGACCAAATAAACAAAGCCATCATTTCTGTTTATGCAGAGAGTGTGCACTCATCTAATTTTCCGTTGACACTGCCGTTTTACTACCGTAGTAGTTTTCCATCTTCAGCAGTAGTTTCAATCCATTCACACAGCTTTACGTTTTCTCTCTTTTTTTTTTTTATACGATATTGATTGCCTAGAAACAGTTTGACCCACTACACGCTTTATTTGGGAATTTAAAGTGATGAATATAGTCATAACAAATTATACTTGCTAATGACAAAAAAAAAAAAAGTAACACCATGTGCCCCGGATCGTGTGAAACGTACTTCGCGCTCTACTCGCTTTGAAACTGCCGCCTATGCTAACGAGCATAGTTGCGGACGAAGCCTTACAACTTCAAGATGGCGTTAATGTTACCAGTTTCCTGATGTTACACCGTAATAAGGCACCCAATACCAACATGCATGTGTTTTGTAACCCCTCTCATCCCCTCCGAGGGATGTTATACATGTTAATAAATCAATGTTAAATACTTGCTGATTACCGAACCGTGCAGCATGTCGTCGGTAAATACTTGTTTACCGTAGTTTGCGAGCAGTCGGCGAAATAACCATTTAAAGCGAATCTAAATGCGGCCTTAATTTATAGTTGTGTATTTTCTAAACTGTATTCGAAATAAAATTGCAGTGGTTTAATTTTGTTTTAATTATAACTGTAGTTTGGATATGCATTTGAAGTGCTTGCAATTAAACACCATGGAGGCCATTCATGGAGGGGAATAAATAACGAACGAACATATTTAACATCCGGGTACTTTTCAAAGCTATGACGTTTTAGTATCTGATCGCATTCGTATACGCCATTGTACATAGCCGTTCATGCTGCCAGGCATTGTGTTCTACTAATATAAACTCAACTTTAATATGCACAATGTGCTTTTTAGAACTTGGGTTAGAGCATT